TGTTATTTTGAACAACAACCATATGTATAGATATATAGATTGTCACTTGTTCATTCCGGCAAGCATGTCAAGCCCTTCAAACAGACCGCACGCGCTCGTGGTGCCTAGGACCAACTGCACTGGAGGACTCGGGGCTGGGCCGGGCGCTCGAGTGGATGTTTAGGGTTGATCGATGATCTTGCTTTGCGATTTGACGTGCTGTAGTTGTTATTCGTCATGCACAGCGACAGGGTCTTTAGGTGCAGGTGGGATGTAGGCAGGGAGACCATTCCCAAGGTGGTGAGAACATGTTCCTATTCTGGTCTAAGTCAGAGTCCCAGTCATACGTGTATTGGCAGAGCGTTTTTCACAAGCCCAAGAAATTAGAAACGCACATGGACCCCTGCTGTGCTACACGGCGCCCGGGGAAACCGCCATAGACGAATTCTCCACCCACCTCAGAACCCCCAAACCGTAGAATCCCTGAACCTGGAATCCAAGGCCAGCACAGACTTTGAGCCTGACGCCCTTGGAGTCAGCCGAGCTATCCATTCGGCTGCTTCGGGCTGAGCCCTGAACAGTACCGTTGTTTCGTGATTTGCACGCTTGCTGGAGTTATGTCTTGTGCGCTTGGGCTTATAAGTCGAGGTGCGAAATGGTATGGGCTCGTTAACTGACAGGGTATTGCGTGCTGAGGTTCGCATCGGGTGATGGCAGTGGGAACTTCCAATGCTTTCATCTCAGCACGGGGCATGGGGAGCACCACCCGGGTCACGGCCTTCAGGATTCGGGATTGCGAACTTGGAAAAACTTCGAGTTTAAACGGCCACCCGAAGGGGTTGCAGGCTTCGTGGGTCTGGTTGTCGAAGAAACGGAACAAGAGACCCAAACAGCACTGAGCTGCCCAATCAGAAGGAACGAGAAGCTGATGCACGGAATCGAAGACTGAAAGCGATTCCCTTTGTGCTGTGTTATCCTCAACCCCAAAGCTATAAGCCATGATGCAGAAGCCCACGAACGCAAACTGAGATAGCGGACTCTTCAATTCAAAGGTGCTTGGTCCCTGATCCTTTTACCTTGTTGAACTGATTTCGACGGTGAAACGGCTTGGTGCCTCCCGGGGCCTCCCCTTCCTTCGAGTGGCTTCTATTGGAAGAGCTTTGGGCGAGGATCGGAGTATCGAAGGACAAGCCAGAAAACGCAGAAACCGATGACTCTGGTAATGTACCATGCAAATATAACCAGTGTGAACCCTCGCCCCGCATCTGCAAGTATCGGCCCGATATTCCCTGCTTGTTTCCCATGTGCTTGTTTCCTGGAGGCTATCCCAATCACAGGATATGAGATGCCGTGCTTTAATCTGGTGGCTTCGAACATCGAATTCTGGTGTGGGTCCCACGAGCAAGGCTCCTGAAGCTCAGCTACCACAATAAATCGCAGCTCACGATTTTGGGTTTGGCGTTATGCTGTGGGTTTGGGCGAAAACATAATCCTAATGCTTTCCGGTGAGGGTTCGGACTGAGATCTAGCTTCAACTTAGACTTAGACCTCATTCTAAACCCTTACCGTAAACCCTAAACCCTAACCTGCCTGCAGGTGACGCCACCCTGTTCGATGCTTTGGGCTCCGTCACGGACGCCGTCGTCGTGGAGGCTGGCTTCTGTTTCGTCTTATATAATCTTCGTGGGGTCACAGTTCAGGGTTCCGTGGGGCATAAATCTAGGGTTTCTGGACAGACAGTTGCAGTGTTATCCTGATAACCGGCAGCCCAGGAAAGCTGAAACGAGCACTCATTTTGTTAGTCGGGTCGCCATGATTGGATTCTGGGGTTGGGGTCTAGGTTTGCTTTAGGCTTGATCTATGAATTTGGTCTGCACTTGTGACGGGACTTGCCCAACACCCTACGCGCCAGACCACGAACCTTCGGATGTAGTTCAATCCGTTTCAACAGGCCGTGTACGGCGGGTGAAGATTAAAAAGTTGATGAAACCTCCTCCAGGTCAATGTTTCTTCCTTGCTGCTCGGTTGCAATCGCAGAGCCTCCAAGACCCTGAACCGAAGCAAGGTCCTGAACCCGATTGCCTGAAGCCTAAATTATTTAGGGAGACCTGGCAATACCCAAAGCCCTCGAGATTTAGACTTCGTTCTTCGGGTCCCAAAACAGCCACGTCGCTTGAGCCCTACGCTCAGGGACCTAAGGTCCGTAGGCTGCCACTCCGAAACTGCGCATGGCACGAGAACCAACGGCTAAGTTCAGTTCCGGGCAAAGGCTTTAGGGGCGTGAGTTCAGGGTTTTCGTCCAGTGCTCGTAGGGCTTTGTCTTTACGGCTTCAGGGCTTCCAGGGTCCGCGGCTCGGTTTTTGAGCTTTAAATTTTCTGAGATTTAAAGAAGTCAGGGCTTCCCGGACTTGTGGCAGGATCGGGTGCTTAACATGGAGCGTCGGGTCTGCAGGTTGACGCTTGGGATTCGGGTATAACCATGCCATGCCCAAGGCGCGACGATGACCACAACGATGTTTCAGACCAGACTCTCGACGTTGTGTGTGTGTGTACACTTCGTGTATAAACCAGCATGCGCTTGCATGCGCGTGTGCTACATCACATCCGTCCTAGATACGCATGCAAATCTACTGCGCAGTGGGGCTAGGACCCACTTGGCCCAAAGTGTGCACTGTAGCAAGGCCGATGCCTTCATGGTATGGCATCAGCGGGCCTGAAAGATTAATGTTCGTCTGAACTGTGGGTTGCGTGTATACATATATATATATATA